TAGTATTTTCAGTGCTGTTGCCAGACTTGAAGGTGCCTTTGTCACTGGAGGCTGGCAAGCTACTCCTTGATGTAACTCAAGAATCTCCAAAGCTACCTTCTCATCGCCTAAAAACAGGCATTCGGTATTTCAGTTTACTATATACAGCTACCATGAAACACCTGCTCAACCTGCCATGGTAGTTTACATTGAACTTCCCTATTTTAGACTATATACAGTAGGGCATTCAGCATTTTGTGTAGCTTGCAACTTCATTCTTCCTCTGTAGGTCAGAGCATGTAATCATATACCACAACATGTGTTGCAGGCACAACTACAGGTAGATTTTCAATATAAAGATAGAAACGTCTTAGGTTCTCCTTGGCAAGGGTAACTGTATCAATCACATCACTGTTGCTAGTGAGAACCCACAAATCTCTAGAGCTGACTCTCTTTAGGCTGTCACGGCAAAAAGGGCAGGATTGTGATCGTGCATTCCTGCAATTCAATTCAAGTACATTACAGAACAAATATTTTTCACAGGTTATCCCCAGTATGTAAAATGCTTTCCAATTTTCTGAAACAAGAACAAGTGAAAAGGGCAATTGATGGTACCAATTATGGAAGCAGGTGATGCACATGGAATGCCCACAGTTGGGCAACACCATCCTTGTACAGTTTTCCATGCATATTCCACATTCATCATCTCTATCTTGATCTTTATCTGACAGCTTCCTCCAGCCTTCCATCTTCTTTCGGCTCAAAACATCTGTGCATCGGCTTTTCTTATTATTGTAATTATTATTATTATTATTATCTTCCAGTTCGTTAAACTCGCCTTCAAGTTGTCTAAGATAAGGGTATATTACAGCTGCAATGATTTCCAGCAGAATGCACTCAGATGTCAAAACAAATTTTTTATTTTTTATTTTCCAAGAAGGGCTATGTATTTAATAAGAAGCTAATTAACTAGAGAATAGCATACCATAAAACTCCCTTAAAGTGACCTTCTGTTCTTTGGAGGACATTGAAGGCATTCCATCCATATAAACCTGCACAATTATGTAAAGCTTAATTTGGAATCTTAGGCAACAAAAAATAAGTAAAAAAGCATAAAAGAAAGGAGAGCCCACCTTGTATACAAGTATGTGGAGAAGGCCTAAATAATTGGGGAGTATATCGGTGCAACTACAATCCATCCATTCAATGAAGTACAGGAAAATGGGGGCAAAGGGGCTATAAGACAATCTCATTTGGATGCAGTTCCCACCATAATCTTTGGGAAGAGCAGCTGCCCTGCAAAAACCCATCTCAAAAACCAATGAAAAAAGGATCTTTTTTTTTTTTTGCCAAACAAAG